ACACACACACACACACACACACACACACACACACCCTTCCATTGTATGTGCCCTTACAGCAGGCTCACTGTGTATTTCTTTAATGACCTTCATAAAGCTGTAAATAGCTGGGTGACAGTGGCTCACGCCTATAATCCTAGTACTTAGGAGGCTGAGATCTGAGGATTGCGGTTCAGAGCCAGCCTAGGCAGGAAAGTTCATGAGACTCGTATCTCTAATTAACCACCAGAAAATAGAAGTGAAGCTGTGGCTCAAATGGTAGAGTGCTTGCTTTGAACTGAAGAGTTCAGGGACAGTGCCCACATCCAGAGTTCAAGCCCCAGGACATACCAAAAAAAAAAAAAAATTAACTAATTAAAAAAATAAAGTGCCAGACACCAGTGGCTCACACCTATAATCCTAGCTATAATCCTAGCTATACTCAGGAAGTTGAGATCTGAGGATCCAGGTTCAAAGCCATCCCCGGCACTAAAGTCTGTAAGATTCTTATCTCCAATAAACCACTCAGAAAACCGACAGTGGTGCTGTGGCTCAAGTAGTAGAGCACTAGCCTTGAGTTGAAGAGTTGAGGGACAGCGCCCAGGCCGAGTTGAAGCTACATGACTGACAAAAATAAATAAATAAATAAAATAAACCTGGGGCTGTGAATGTGGCTTAGTGGTAGAGTACTCTCCCAAGATGCACGAAGCCAGGGTTTGATTCCTCAGTTCCACAGAAACAGAAAAAGCCAGAAGAGCTAGCCTTAAGCAAAAGAAGCTTGGGGACAATGCCCGGGCCCTGAGTTCAAGCTCCAAGATACCCCTGGATTCAATTCACAGAAAGCTTATGGGACCCAAGACCCTTCCCTGTTGTGACTATAGGTAGCCTAGGTTTCCATAAGGTTTCTTTTTTTATTACTAAGGTTTTTTTTTCTTTAGCCTGAAGCAGCTCCTCTTCAGTGTTTTGTTGCCTTTATTTTTATTTTTTGCAATGAACAACCCAGTTAACTCAAGACACATCCCTCTATTTGGGTTTGTGTGAAGTCTCCTCCTTCAGATTCAGGTGCCACATTTACTTGATGGAACCCAGGGCTTCATGCTGCTATGCAGGCTGTTCCTACACTCCCACCCCCACCCCACCCCTACCCTCTGGTACTGCATTTTTGACTCTCAGAAATATTTCTGTTCTTTACCAAAAACACCTGCCAGCCAGGCACTGGTGGTTCATGCCAGTATTCCTAGCTACTCAGAAGGCTGAGATCTGAGGATCTTGGTTCAAAGCCAGCCCAGGCAGAAAAATTCAGGAAACTCTTCAATTAACCACCAAAACACTGGAAGTAGAGGTGTGGCTCAAAGTAAAGTGCTAGTGTTAGTGAAAAGCTCAGGGATAGCACCCTGGACCCCTGGAGTTCAAGTTCCACAGATGGGAAAAAAATTGGTCTGTTTGCCCCCTTACTGAAGATATTCATGTAGTCAGGGCTTGCTCCTCTGTTTCCTATCTGGATGTTTATTTCTTCCCAATTTTAATTAGCAGTTAATTATGAAGAAGTGCTTTGAGTTTGTTTCTCATCTTCCTTTCATTTCAGGTTTTGGCATAGAATATTTCACAGGTCTTCACTGCATAGAACCTGTGTATTATTTCTAGTGTGTCTAATCCTAGGAAGTGTTTAAATTGTTGGTCCTTGATCCTTATCCTTTCCTCAGTGTATGTGTGTGTGTGCATGTGCGTGTGTGTGCATGTGGGTACTGGACTCAAATCTTGGGCTCTTGCTCAGCTTTGCTCCCATCTGGCGTGCTACCATTTGACCCACATTCCCAATCCACAAATTTTTAGATTTTGCTCATCTCTTTTGCTATTAGTCAGCTACTTTAGGGCCTCTCTAAGTCTGGCCAGTTGCCTTCCTGGCCAGGACTTAGCTTGTTTTCATCATGTGGAATTCCAGGACCTGTCAAGGGGTTTCAATGTCCTCTTGTCTCCCAAAAACAATCCAGGGCAACACTCTGCCCAGTCTCCAGTTTAAGGTTGCTGCTCCAGACATTTGTGGAACCTCAGGCTGGTGTGGCCAATTTCTAATTGTGGTGGACACAGAAAGTGGGGCTCTGATCTCTACCATACTAAATCAGGTAACTTTCTGAGATGAGAGAAAATCTAGGCCCCCCCTTTTTTTTTGGCTTCCCTTGGGACAAAAAATCCTGAGCCCTGGTAACACCCAATTACAGCTTTAACCTCATTCAGAATACTGAAGGAAGTCCCTTCTTGTTCATTAAGAGCCATGTTGAAAACAAATCATAATGTGTCTTGGGGTAGGGGTGGGGCACCACCTGCCCCTGAAAAATCTCTCTTGGGACTGTTATCTTCTGCTGGGGCAAATGCTTCATCTCTGAACCAAGCCTGCTGCTACCTGGGCAGGGAGAAGGGGACAAGGAGCCTGTAATTATTAACCATGAACTTAATTAAAAAGAAAAAGCAAGCCAGCATAACTTTGCACTAAGGAACACTGGAAGCAGGAAAAGAAGCTGCTGCATGTTGGTCTCCTTGGCTTTATCTTGAGGTTTTCTTCTGGGAAAGGGACTTGTAGTTCTAGGAGTGTCACCCTTGAGAGATAAGACAGCATATTGTTTATGTTTGTATCCAGGAGAAAGAAAAGGCTGTTACATGGAGCTGGTGAGCTAGCTCGGCAGTAGCTGGTATGTACAAGACCTTGGGCTTGATTCCCACACTGAAAAAAAAAGAAATTAAACTGGGCTGGGAATGTGGCTTAGTGGTAGAGTGCTTGCCTAGCATGCATGAAGCCCTGGGTTCGATTCCTAAGTACCACATAAACAGAAAAAGCCAGAAGTGGCACTATGGCTCAAGTGACAGTGTTAGCCTTGAACAAAAGAAGCTGAGGGACAGTGTCCAGCCCTTAGTTCAAGCCCCAGGACTAACAAAAAAATAAACTTATTCTTGTGTGCAGGTGTGCGAGTTGTGGTGGAGGGCTGCTGTGGATTAAATCCAGCCTCAAACATGTTAAAGTCCTTAAAATTGTTTTTAATTGAAAAAAAGAGAGAATGGTAGGAGTTGAGGAGGAGGGAAAGTAGGAGAAAAATGAGGGAAGGGGTAACAAGTTTGACAAGAAATGTACTTATTACCTTATTTATGTAACTGTGATCCCTCTGTACATCACTTTGACAATAAAAAAATAATTTAATAATTTTTTTTTAAAAAAAGAAAAGAAAATAGAGAGAAACCTGAAAGTTGATGGAGGCAGAAATCCCAGGAAGAGAGAAAGAATGAGAAAACTCAAACCAGTGGTGAGAAAAGGGTTGAACACTCAAAGCATCAATGGAATGAGAATGGTCTGGTTTACAGTGGTTTGAGTTTTATTTCCCAGGGACTCACGTGTTGGTCCTCAGTGTGGCAATACTGGTAGGGGGACTTTTAAGAGGTGGAGCCTACTGAGAGGTTATTACTGGCCCATCCTGGCTTCCTGCCAAGCTTCACAATCCTGTCCTCTCTGACCTGGTACCAATCACCATTGACAACTATGACACCTTCATTGGAACTAGGCTGGTACCATTGAACCTCCTGACCTATGAACCAAATAAATACCTTTGAAAAGTTACACAGTTGCCGAGCGCCGGTGGCTCACACCTGTAATCCTAGCTACTCAGGAGACGCTGAGATCTGAAGATCGCGATTCAAAGCCAGCCCGGGCAGGGAACTCCATGAGACTCTTATCTCCAATAAACCACTAGAAAACTGGAAGTGGTGCTGTAGCTCAAGTGGTAGAGCGCTCACCTTGAGCTGAAGAGCTGAGGGACAGCACTCAGACCCAGAGTTCAAGCCCCACGACCGACCAAAAAAAAAGAAAAAAAAAAGTTACACAACCTAGATACTTCACTACAGACAACTGATAACAGGCAACTGATACAGAGAAAATGTAATGATTACTTTAATTGTTTTGTTCATTCTATAATGAACTACAACAAAACACATATATCCTAGAGGACACAGAGAAAGAACATGCAAGCATTCCAGTGAATTTTTTTGCCATTTTAATTTCTAAATCATATGAATATATTACCTACTTGAAAAATATTTTAGGGGGATGAGAGACAGTGCTGGGGTTTGAATTCAGGGCCTGGGTGCTGTCCCTGAACTTTTTTGCTCAATGCTAGCTAGCACTCTACCACTTGAACAACAAATCTACTTCTGACTTTGTGGTGATTAATTGGAGATAAGTCTCAGACTTTCCTGCCCAGGCTGACTTTGGACCACAATCCTCAGATTTCAGCCACCTGAGCAAGATTACAAATGTGAGCCACCTGCACCTGGCTAATTTCCAGCCTTGAGGAGGAAAAAAAGAAAAAGCTCAGGGACAGTATCTAGGCCCTGAGTCCAAACCCCAAGACCAGCATGCGTACACATACGTACACATACGCACACACAAACACATATACACGTGCATGCACGCATGGGACTTCTATACATTTCAAAAAGACAAAGCAAATCCAGGTGGGTCCACTGATTAACTCTACCAAGCATTTAGAAATAACACCAAAATTCCCTACAATCTCTTTCAGAAAAAAAAAAAAAGAAGCAAAATATTTTCTTACTCATTCTACAAGGCCAGCATTACCCTAAGGCTTAAACCCGGTAAAGCAGTTACAAGAAAAGAAAATTACAGGCCAAGCATTGGGTGCCCAACAGCTATCAGGCCTCAGGAATGTGCAGGCAGGTTCAGCTCCATGGCCTTGCAGAAGATGCACTTTGGGAAATCAACCACATTCTTCCCCTCCAGTGAGGTAATTCAGAAGTAATTTTTGGGCTGGGACTGTGGTTTGCCTAGCATGCATGAAGCCCTAGTACCACATAAACAGAAAAAGTTGGAAGTGATAAAGTACTATCCTTGAGCAAAAAGAGCTCAAGGACAGTGCCCAGCCGCTGAGTTCAAGCCCCAAGATAGGCAACAACAACAACAAAGTAATTTGTGCTGGCCCTGTGACTAAGAACTAAGGTCCCAGTCACAATGGACTTGACCACATTCCTGCCTGGGCTGCATTTTCTTCTCTTCCTGCTTTACCTCTCACATAAGCCACCCACACATAACCCTTGTCTCAGGCTCTGCTTAAACAAGGGCTGCCTTCCCAAGGAGGCATGTAAAGAATCGTGAGGGAAGTAGGAGGGAGGAGGGATAAAGGCCTCCCAAGAAGGCTGAGCACAAAGCACACACCCACAAAGGGGCTCACTCACAAGACCAGACTGGGTCCGTTCAATTCACAGAGACAGGGTGAGGTGCACTGCCAGTACTTTTCATTCAAAATGCGGAAGATAACGTCACCCAGGTCAGAGCCTAGTGCGCTGTGGGCAAAGGAGGGAAGCCCATAGAGACCTTATCTCAGGCCTGCCTGGTGGGCATGGGCTTGGCACACAGGAGCTACAGACTTTCTGATGAATGGCGGTTCTGAGGAGGAGGGGCCAAGTCCTGCTGACATGATCCTTGATGATGTTGTCTAAGTAGGCCCAAAGGCAGGGGCTGGTGCCTGCCAGGGTGTGGGCCCAGCTCCCCCAACATGAGGAGAATCTCCAAGATCCCTTTCCTGCTGCAGTGACTGAGGCTTTCAAAGGGGAGGGTGGGCTAAGTTCCAGGAGTCCCCTCCTCACTATTCCAACATGACTGGCTGCTAGGGCTTTAGGTCAAGGACAGGTGGGGCAGTGGCTTGAGTCAAGTACATAAGAGTTCAAGGCTTAGGATGTTGTATAAAATCACTGGCCAGAAAACAGACACAGCCCTCTTTCTGCCAGCTTGCTGCATCTATTTGCCCTGGGTGTAAAAGCTCATCAGAGTGGAGAGCAGGGGGCTGGAAAGAGGAGGCAGAGGCTGTTGGGCAGCCTCTGCTATCCCTCCTGGCCTTCTCAGGGAAACTGTATCCCAGCGAGGGGTTAGCGGGGCCAGGCAGCAATGAATTCCTTCTCCAGACCCTGGACAAACCGATCATTGAGGAAGAGCAGCTGGCCATGGGGCAGAAAACGGGTAAGGATGCCCTCAATGCGGTCAGCCCGCAGCAGGAGGCTGGTGCCAGGGGCCAGCAGCCGGAGGTGGTCAATGAGGAGGCGGGCCAGCAGTCGGAGCGTGCTCTCGGCCAGCAGCAGGTTCTCGTGGGCATCCAGTACCAAAGCAAAGCCTAGTGAGAACACCCCCAGCCATACCACTGTTCGAGACACCTGGAACGGGTCCCCTGGGGCCAGGCGGAAGGCCCCATGTGGGGCATCATGCAGGGACACGGGCTCATCTGAGGACTGCAGCTGCAGGTCCGTAAGGGGCCGGCCAGATGCCTGCTGCTGCAGCTGGCACATTGACTGCACCTGCCTGGGAGAGAGGGAAGATCAGCTGTAATGACAGGCTGACAGGCCTGGTGAGGTCACCAAGGCAGCCCACAAGCTTCTGTCATTTTCATGACCACAAGTGGAGCTGCCATTATCCCCATATCTCAGATGAGAAAACCGAGGCTTAGAGAAACCAAGTGACCTGCCCACAGCTACACAGCCAGGGAGTATGATTCCATATGGAAATCTAGGGTCCACCCTGCCCCACTGTGCCCCATGGGGCAACAAGGCAGGTTCTGAGCACAGCTCCTTGGGCCAGAAAAAGGGAGCAGGAGAAAAAGATCCTGTCCCATGGCCTTCACAGAGGCTTCCTCAACAAGCAACGAGAATAAATCCCATTGCCCAACCTCTCTACCCCAGCCAATCCTGCAACCTTCCCCAAATAACCCCCTCTCCCCCAACTAGACAGTCAAAACTGGAAGCCCTTCTGATCCTTTCTGTACCCCTTCCAATTTGAGCCACACACAGGTTGGTTTTAAAGGCATAATTGTTTTGGTTTTGTGCTGTACCAAAGGGAACAAGGTAGAGGAAAATAAGGGCAGGAAGTGGCCAAGGGTCCCCTCAGAGTGGTAAAGTCCCCCTCAGAATGAAGGGGCAAGAGACTCTGACACGTGCCAGCTCTGTCTGAGTCTAGTATGAGAAAGTCCAAGGCTAACCACCCCTGCTGCCCAAGTTCCCATTGTGCTCAGAGTCTAAGGTATTCAGGCGGTCCTGAGGATGAACAGTTCCAAACACCACATTCTCTCTCTTCCTTAGAGATGCATAAAGGTCTGAAGTCCTGCACTGAAAATCACATTTAACTGGTAATAGGGCCTACCTGCCTTCATTCAACTCTGTTATGCCACTTTCTAGCTGTATAATATTGGACAGATTTGGTTCCTTGAATGCTCTACTTACACATCTGTAAGGTGGGGATAATAACTATAGCTACCTCAAAAATCTACTGTATGAAACAAGTTAATAATATATACAGAGGGGGCTGGGAAGGTGGCTCAGTGGTAGAGCGCTTGCCTTGCATGCCTGAGGCCCTGGGTTCGATTCCTCAGCACCACATAAGAAAAAAGCTGGAGGGGCTGGGAAGATGGCTCAGTGGTAGAGCGCTTGCCTTGCATGCATGAGGCCCTGGGTTCGATTCCTCAGCACCACATAAGAAAAAAGAAAAAAGC